GGGAGAGGGAGAAAGAGAGAGAGGGAGATGAAAGAGAGCTAGAGAGAAAAAGAGATAGAGGAAAGAAAAAGAGATAAAGATAGAGGGGGAGAGGAAAGAAAGAAAGAGAGACAAGGGGAGAGGAAAGAGAGAGAGGGGGAGAGGAAGGAGAGAGAGAGGTAGAGGAAAGAGAGAGAGAGAAAGAGAGAGAGAAGAAAGAGAGAAAGAGAGAGGAAGAGGAAAGAGAGAAAAAGAAAGAGGGAGGGAGAGGAAAGAGAGAGAGAGAGAGAGAGAGAGAGAGAGAGAGAGAGAGAGAACTCATGCATAGCAGCCTCTATTTCTTTTTAATTAAACTCTTCAATCAAGCTCCCCCCCTCGTGCGCGTGCATGTGACCATGCAAGTTTTGCGGCTCCTAGTGTTTTTTTTTCCTCTGGGAAATGGGTCCAAGTGGCTCTTTGAGTGTTTAAGGTTGCAGACCCCTGGACTAGAATATGCTATCATTTTTGAAAAATACACAAATGTAAAAATCTAATTGGACTATTGCAATGTTCTTTACATGGGATCCCCCCTTGAAGACTAACAATAAACTGACAAGTGTAAAATCTAGAATTTCATAAACATACTGAAACAAACTACTACTATCATGTCAAATCAATATTTGGGGAACTACACCGCTTGCTTGTTTATTTCCAGGTTTATTTCAAAGTTGTGGTGAGCAAATTCTGAATGTCTTGAAAGTATCTGAGATGCCTTCCTCAAAAGACAAGCTTCCCATAAAAAAAATCCCAATTAAGGTTCCCCCAGTGGGCAGCTTCAGTGAGTATTTTTGGTGTTTTCTCTATAAGAGATAACAGAGACATGATAGCAGTGTCCCAAAATTTGAGGGTCTGCCACAAAGAACCTAACCTATTTTCCAAAGCACCCAAAGACAGGACAAGAAGCAATGATGGAAACTAATCAAGAAGCGAAGCAACCTGGAATTAAGGAAAAACTATCTAACAGTGAAACAATTAAGAGAAGCAACCTAGAAATAAAGAGACATTTCCTGACAGTTGGAACAATTAATCACTGGACAACTTGCCTCCAGAAGTTATGGGTGCTACAACACTTGAGGTTTTGAAGAAGGGATTGGACAACCATTTGTCTGAAATGGTATAGGGTTGAACTAGAACAGACATGTCAAACACAAGGCCCGGGGGCCAGATACGGCCCATGAAGTGGTTTCATGTGGCCCACGAAGCCATCCTGTAAACAGTGAGGGAATGGCTCCCACTGCCTTGGCCCTGGCCCAGGCCAGCCGGGAGCCAATGTACAATTTTGTGCTGGCCATCTTGGCACTTGCCCCTGTGGACCATGCCTTGGCACTTGCCCCGGTCCCACCCTTTTCTGCCAGAGACCCTCAGATCTGTCCCACTCCTGCCCAGGCCCCCACAGGCACCCTTGACACAAATGATGTAGAACTGGCCACGCCCATCCAGTAGGCCACACCCACTCCATCCACACCCACCCAGTAAGCTGCACCCACCCTGGCCACACCCACCTGGCCCTCTGAGGGCAACCGCAATGCTGATGCGGCCCTCAGTGAAGTTGAGTTTGACACTAGAAGATCTCCAAAGTCCATTCCAAATCTGTTATTCTGTTAAGAAGGGTAGAGGATGAGATTTCCTGCCAAGATCAAAGATTTTCTGGCTATAGACCAGCATGTTGGATAGATAATTTCCCTTATTCTCTTTTGGGTGATTGATTCCATTACAAATAATAAAAAGACATTTATGCATATAGAACATATTTATAATTTGAAAGGGTGATAACTGTTTCCCAGTTACTCTTATTAGAGGAAATGTATTGCTTCTATTTATCTCTAATAACTAGCTTTTTTTTTCTATTTAAATTCTTTGCACACTCCATTAAAATAAGTGGAGGAAGGAAACTGCAGGAAAAGAGGCAGTAATCTGAAAATAAGTTAATTTGTGTTCTATTGAGATGAAGTTCTATTTACAACTAGCTGTACCCAGCCATGCGTTGCTGTGGCTCAGTGTGGTTAAATGGAAAAGAAAGAAAAGAGAAAGTGCACGTTTGTAATATGTTTAATTTCACAATGCTTGTGGGTATACAATATTTTTTGTTGTTCCATTGTGTGTGCAGATATAGAGATTATGTTCAACAGATGGCACTGTTTTTCAAAAACAGCATGTTTTTACCTGTTACATATAATATAGGTATATAAAAACACGTGCATATTCGAATGCAACGTTGTGTCAAAATTTCAAAGCAATTGGTGAAGAACTTTCAGAGATTTAAGATTTTGAACAAACGAACATTTATATTTTTATTTATATAGATAAACACATTGATGTTAATGATACATTAAGTTGTGAGTAACTATTTTTATTGGTTTTTTTGTTTGATGTGATTCAACATTTTGAGATTTATTGTGCAGGACACTTGCCATTCATTTCATATCTAAAAGGACTGCAGTAATGTTTTGAGTTGTAATGATGTATAAATTATACCTTATTAAATCATTGCAAGCTCTTCTATCTATCACAATTCCTTTATTAACTATAATAAAACAAAGTAAACTGAAAGGTCTCTGTGAACAAAATGTTCCCTACTATAAATTCTTAACCTGTTAATTAATTTTCTGGAGCATAAGAGAAAGAAAACAAAATATTAATCTTCTTGCTTGATCTTCAATAACCTTAATTGAGAGCAAGAGATGTAATTCTCATACACTGTGCAATAGGCCATTTTCCAAGGGAAAAAAAATCCTCTCTTATAAAATACACAGTTTTTTTCTATTTTTATTTATTAAAAACAGTTTAAATACAAAACTCCTAATTTTTTAACAGAAACAAACTAACAACAACAAAAAACCCACAAAACAAACAAGACATTTAAAAAGTACATTAAAAAACCACTAATACACATACACATATTATTTGCCCTTAGTTGAATGCTGATAAATATATTAGAACAATATTAGTTTCCTACTCCTTGAGAAATAGGCCCCCATTTTTTTTAAACTAATAATTCTATTTGCAGAGAGGTTACCACATTAATCAGTCATCTATCCACTATATTAATGACAAAAACAGCTACTGTAGCAGGTAAAACAATAATTAAAAAAGCAAGATTAAAATTTCAAAACCCTCTGTTAGCAAACTGTTATTGTAATCAACTCATAGAAAGTTTACTGCAGTTTCTTATCTATAAAATACAAACAGTTTCCTGACATCTTCAGACTAAATGTCTATGGAGATTTTCAGTCATGCATATCACAGTTGTCCCAAAGATGCTTTTTCATGAGGCAACTGGACTTTCTTGTTTTTCCTTTGAAGATGTTTCGCTTCTCATTCAAGAAGCTTCTTCTGCAAGGAGTATAAATCCTTCCATTCCCCACCATCCAGTCAGAGCTGAAGAAACCTCTTGGATGAGAAGCGAAACGTCTTCAAAGAAAAACAAGAAAGTTCAGTTGCCTCATGAAAAAGCATCTTTGGGATACCTTCAGACTAGTTATCTTTATAGGTAATCCTTGAGGTACAATTGAAATTGAGTTTGGAATTATGATTGTATGTCAGTTATTAAGTGGTCCCCATGTGACTGTGTCGTATTTTATAACCAGTTTTGAGGTTGTCGTTCATTGAATCAACACAGTTTTTAAGCAAACCTAACAGTTATTAAATGAATTGCAATGCAAGTTTTTTTGTCAGAAACCAGAAGTAAATGCCAGATTTTGGCAAATATCGTACTAAATTGTGGCTAAATGTAACTGTAGGAAGCTAAAAACCTCACAATTGTAGGCCAATTGCCCAGCACTCAAAATGCAGTCATAGGAGTGTTGGAACTTTGAATTTGGGTTGTAAATAGTCCTGAGGAAATCCATTGTAATTTTGGTCATTACATAAGTGACTGTTCATAACTTATACTGGGATATAAGTTTTGGGGAGCAGCAAAATGTTGTTGGTTTGATGATTGCAGGGATGTGCATAGTGTTGGCAAAGTTTTTTTTTCCCAACACAATTACCCTGAAGTTAACAAGGAAATATATAAGAATCTGAAACTTGTCCTGTTGCTACTTTAATTCTGATGTTCACTTTCAGTGTCTTTATTCACTTGCTCAGAGTTTGAGTAGTTTGCCCTATGTAGAAATTGGAGGGGCACATAAAGAAAGACTAAAGTATTATACAGGTAGTCCTTGACTTACAATTGAACACAAAATTTCTATTGCTAAGCAAGACAGTTGTTAAGCAAGTTGCACCTCATTTTACGACATTTTGGGCACAGTTGTTAAGCGAATGCTACAGCTGTTAATTGAATCATACGGTCGTTAAATGAATCTGGCTTCCGCCATTGGCTTTGTGGTCAGAAAGCAACTGGGAAGGTTACCAATGGTGCACACATGAGCCTGGGACAGTGAAATTGTCCTAAATACACCCCAGTTGCCAAGTGCCCGAATTTTAATCACATGACCATGGGGATCCTGTAACGGTTGTAAATGTGAAAACTGGTCATAGGTTACTTTTTTTCAGTGCCATTGTAACCTCAAAGAGACATTAATCAAATAGTTGTAAGTTGAGGACTATCTTAATACATTAGAAAAATATTAGCTTATTAGCATCTGACCTTGCTTCTCCCCTCTTTCTTCCTTTAATTCTTTGTATTTAAAATCCTGTAAGTGTGAATTTGACTCTACCTGTCAAGATGGAATGGAATGATAATAGAACAGAACAGAACAGAACAGAACAGAACAAAACAAAACAAAACAAAACAGAACAGAATATTTCTGGTGCACTATCTAAACTAAATTAAGTCCCCTAGTTCTTACATTATGCAGTTTCTTTACTATTATGTTCATTGGAAATAAAATAAGAGACAATCAAATTAGCAATGCTTAGTCATGCCTCATGGGGGTTCTGTAATGAGCAGCCAATATCAACATATACTGTAGTAGACATTGATTTGTATATATAGAGCTTGCCCAAAAAGGTATCCAAGAGAAAAAAAAATCTTTACATCTCTAGTTTGCCTGCTCTGACACATTTATGAAGTAACTACTGTACATAATTTTCAAGGTATATTTTAGGAGGGTGACCTGATTCAAAAGTCATTAGTGGCATGTATCTTGGGCCAATGATCTATCAAAATGTGTTTGGGGTTAGATAAAGGGCATATTTAGTAGAAACAAGGAATGGGGTATGTTTAGTTTAATAAAAAGAAGGACTAGGGGTGACATGATAGCAGCCTTCCAATATCTCAGAGGTTGCCACAAAGAAGAGAGGGTCAACCTTTTTTCCAAAGCACCAGAAGACAGAACAAGAAGAAACAGATGGAAACTAATCAAGGAGAGAAGCAATCTAGAACTAAAGAGGAATTTCCTGACAGCTAGAACAATTAATCAGTGGAATAACTTGCCTCTAGAAGTTGTGAATGCTCCAAAACTGGAAGTTTTTAAGAAGAGATTAGACAACCATTTGTCTGAAATGGTATGGGTCTCCTGCTTGTTATACTAGAATCTTCTGTACTAGAATATTTCCCAGGTCCCTTCACACTCTGTTATTTGTTATTCTGTTAAGGACTCACACTCCAGAAGGAACATATTGATTTGCTAAATATCTTCAATGGGATGTCTTCTATCAGGATTCTACAGCCTTAAGATGATTAAGGTGGTGGAAAGATCACCTAAGATATCTAATGTAAAAAAATAGGACCCCTTATCAGCCTTAACAGAGCATTTGTCTGCGGTTGCTTAAAACAATTTACCCAGCTTATCTTAGCTGTCTTCACCAGGTCTTTTTTTATATATAAAAAAAGTATTTTATTATTTTTTCAATTGTTACAATTCAGTAGTGCTTGATGAACAATGTATTGTCTGGGATATTTGTTTTTGCCTAGTAATAGAAGTTAAATTCTTACTCTCTGTCTTGTGGTAAAATAAGGACCTCTTAGCAGTCTTAACAGAGGATTTGTCTGCAGTTGTTTAAAACAATTAACCAGCTTATCTTAGCTGCCTTCACCAGGTCTTGAATGATGCTAAGGAAAGATGAATTTCTATGAGAATTTCTATGAGAGAGAATTTCTGTCTTCGTATCACCACTTCCCTACATTCACCACTCAGTCTTTGCTTCTGAATTACAGCACAACCTAACATTTAATAGAAATTTTCAAAGATGCTTCAGTTGGGATTTGGTTAAGGGAAATATATGGACACATGGATCCTGAGGTGCCTAGCATGTTTTTCAGACTAGGATCGTCTTCCGTTTTAGAGTTTCAAGACTGATGAACCATATCATTTGAATGTATATTACATATTCCAAAAGATTTGTTCACTTAAAGGGCCAATGAATTAAATTGATTTAAAAGCACAATGTAATGTAGAACAAAAAGGTTGCATTCTTCTTTTTAACCTATAGAGCTTTTTAAAAATATATATATAATCATTTTTTAAAAATGTTATTTAGAATTGGAGGAGAAATAATTTTGATTCACATTTTGGGATGAATTTACTTATAATTAGACTCACACACTGTAAAACATCCACAACACTTATTGTCCTTCAGTATTTGTATTTTTTTTTAAAAAAAATTGTACTTCAAGGTTTAGAAAAATGAACACTTAAAAGTTATATGACAATTAGAAAAAAAGACAGATTCCCACAATAACAGAACAGAATAACAGAAATAACAGAAAATAATTTCATATTTTCATAAAATTCAATGTGAAATAAATCATTTCCTGTTTTCCTAAAATTCAGCAAAGCCCCATTTCTGTAAGATGTACTCATCAATTCATCAAATGTTTTGAAAAGAACTGACATCCTTTCTGTGTAAATATTTCTTCAGGAGAAAATCACCCTCCTGAAAGAGAGAACTGGGCATCTTCAGAAGACAAAAGGAACTTGAAGGAATTGGGTCATAATGAAATTCTGGTTACTGGAGAGGTTTCAAGGCAAGGTAACTCAGCTGAATATTGAAATTACATGAAAGTATCTTCTATCAATTCCTGATCACGGTTCCATAGTAACCATGAAAAGCAATGAAACGAGAATCAGTGAGTTCATCCTTCTGGGCTTCACAGACATTCGAAAACTGCAGCTCCTGTTCTTCGTCATCCTTCTCTTTTCCTACTTCTTCACAATTACTGGAAATGCTCTGATCATCATCCTGGCTAATAGAGACTACAGGCTACACAGCCCAATGTATTTCTTCCTCTGGAATTTTTCTGTTTTGGAGATTGGATTTACCACTGTTGTAACTCCCCAAACCTTGTCCCATCTTTTGATGGCCCATAAAATTGTTCCCTATGTTGGTTGCATGATACAGTTTTTCATGTATTTACATCTGGGCACCACTGAGTTCTTCCTCTTAGCGGTCATGTCCTATGATAGATACCTGGCCATCTGTAACCCCTTACGCTACCCATCCATCATGCAGAAGAGTTTATGCACTTTGCTGGTTCTCTGTTGCTGGATTGGAAGCTTCCTCCTCATCATTGGTCCCTTTGTGATCTTCCTACAGCTTCCAATGTGCAACTCAAACATCCTGGACCATTTCTTCTGCGACAACACACCATTGATGCAACTCCTTTGTGGGGACACTAGACTTCTGGAACTGTTTGAGTTTGTCACTGCTGTGCTTTCCTTGCTGGGGACTTTAACCATTTCAGTAGTTTCCTATGTCAACATAATAAAAACTATCTTGAACATCCCATCTGCTACAGGGAGAAAGAAGGCGTTTTCCACCTGTGCCTCTCACTTCATTGTTGTGTCCATCACCTACGGGAGCTGCATCTTCCTTTATATCAACCCATCCCAGACAAGCAAAGTGGAGTTTGGCAAAATAGTGGCCATTCTGAACACCATTGTTTCCCCTTTGCTCAATCCTTTCATTTACAGCTTGAGAAACCGACAAGTTCAGGAAGCCTTGAAAGATCTATTGAAGAGCTTCCGGTCTGAGGCGACGGCGATGGCGGCTAGCTTTTAGCCGTCCAGCTGGGGAAGTGTCAGAGCCGCGGAGCGCAGCGTGCATCAGCTGGCCCGCGGCTCGGAAATCCCTTCCCGGGCAAAGGGAAGGGATAGAGAGTGCAGGGATAGAGGTAGAACCCCTGAACCCCTTCTGGATTTGTTTCTAGAGGGGGTGAAAGGAGTGTTCCCTCGGAGCTCCTGCTGATCTCCGCCTCCCAGCTGTTTTTGCTTCCTAGGAAGCAAAAGAAACCGCCGCTTCTATCTCCGTGTTTATAGCATTCTGGTGAGTAATTTTTAAACGGACGGAGCAGTTTAAAGGATTTTTTGTTATAATTTAGGTGTTTAATTTTTTTATTTTTTGATTTCTACTATTATTCCTCCTTTTTTTGTTATATTAGTGAAAGGATTTAAGATGGCGCTTTGAAAGTGTCGGAGTTTTTTTTTCCTTTCTCTTTTGTTTTACTTTCCCTTTTTAAGGATTGGTTTTTGCCTTTACTTTTGTTTTTGGTTTAGAATTTTTTCTTTTGAATTGTTTGCTCTTTTATTTTTTATTTTTTGGATTTACTCTGGACTTTCAAGGACTATAGTTTGTCTCTTTTTAAAAAATTTTTTTCTTTTTTTTTTCCCTCCTCCCTTCCTGGCTGGAGGGGAAAGGGAAGTGACAATTGTGCTTTTTAAAATGGCTTCAAAGAGGCAGCAGCCTTCCTCAATATCTAAGGTTATTTCTTCTCCTATAACTTCCACTGCACAGCTACAACAACAATCTAAACATGTACCACCGGCTCAGCCACCACCCTCCCCTCCTCTATCTGGACTTTCAGCACAAGAGGTTAGAGGCATAATGGGAGAGATTGTAGTTCAAATGAGAGAGGAAATGAATCAATTTGTCTCACAGATTAAATCAGAAATTAAATCTGATCTCAAAGAAGAGATAACGGGGATAAAGACTAAATTGCAAGAAAACAATAATGAATTACGACAAGATATACTGGCAGCTGTTTCAGGTTTGGCTACTGTGGTGGTTAAGCTCGATGCAAGGCTTGAGGAAGTGGAAGACAAAGTTGACTCTTTGGATGACAAAATTCAAGATGTGGAAAGGAAGGTGGACTCCTCACAAGAAGATATTTTGATGTTTCAGTACAGACAAATGGAGTATGCCCTGAGGATCAGAGGCCTCAAGGAAGATGTGAATCAAGATCTGGTGGAGGTGGTCCTTACTGATCTGGCGCTGGCCTTGGATATGGATAAAGGAGAATTACAGAGAGAAGTGGAAAAAATTTATAGGCTCAACTCCTGGATTGCTAAGCAGAAGAACTTGCCTAGAGATGTGGTGATTTATTTTACAAAGAAGTCCCTGCGGAATGAGATTATACAAGCTTTTTACAATAAAAGATTTCAGATTGCTGCCCAAGATGTCATCATTTTAAAGGAAATCCCATCCAAAATTTTAAGAAGCAGGAAAGACTTTGCTTTTTTAACCAATGAGCTTAAAGCTAGATCGATGCCATTTAGATGGGAAATTCCGATGGGTATTGTTTTGAGCCATGCTGGGACACGCTACAGATTGAACACAGTTGATAAAGCTAGAGACTTTTATATTTCAGTCCTGGGTGCAGGCTCAACTTCATCTGGTCGGAAATCTCTGAGTGGCAAGGAAGTTGAGCAGCAATCTGAGGCATTAGATTTGGTTTCCGCTGGGATGATAGAAGCTGTAAAGCAACGCCAGACGGAGGTTAAAGAGCAGAGGATGACCCGTGCAGCCTATAAGCGTAAAGAGAAGGAGCAACGTAAAAAAGAGCCTAAAGAGAGTTCTCCTGGAAGTGCATCACCGCCGGTGGGAGGAGCAAGACCCAAGAGTTATGCAACACACGCAGCTCTTTCAGAGTTTGATGGTGTCTTCTCCAGGCTGCGTGCCAAGGGAGATGGCAAAGTTTTTGACCTGGAATGTTAATGGATTGAATTCTCCTCAGAAACGCAAAAAAATCTTTTATTATTTGAAGCAACATACTAATGATGTTATTTGCTTACAGGAAACTCATATTTTACTTAAAGATCAGAAATATTTAGTTAATGCTCGTTTGGGATCTCATTTTATATCTTCTGCTCCTGGGAAGAAAGGGGGAGTTGTTATATATGTTAAACAAAACCTACCAGCTTGTCTGGTAGAATCAGATCCCCAGGGGAGATATGTGATGATTGAACTTGGTATTTATGGTAAGAAAATACTTATAGTTGGACTTTACGCTCCAAATCAACAACAGGAACAATTTTATAAGCAGTTACATCAAAAAATAACATTGTTTGATTATAGATCAGTGGTATTAATGGGTGATTGGAATGGTGTCTTAGATACACAAAGGGACAAGAAAGGTTCCTCTCCTTTTCTCAAACAAGCAAGGCTACCTAAAGCCTTTTTTGATATGAAAGAAGACTGGGAATTAAGGGATTATTGGCGGGAACGTAACCAAGAGGAGAGAGACTTTACTTTTTTTTCTGATAGACACCAATCTTTTTCAAGAATTGACTTTTTCTTGATTACCACGGACTTGTATAATAAAGTAAAGAATGTAAAGATTTTTCCTAGATCACTGACGGATCATAGTCCAGTTTGGATGGAGCTGATTCAAGAGAAAGAGGAAAGAAGATCCTGGAGAGTTAATGAAAATTTGTTTAGACAAGAGAAGAATGTTCAAAAATTAAAGGAGTCTTTAAAGGACTATTTTGCTTTGAATATGTACAAGGGGACTTCAATGTCAATGGTATGGGATGCAGGTAAAGCATTTATGCGCGGTGTTTTGATAAAAATGAATAATTTTTATAAGCGAAATCAGATTCAGAAACGTAGAGAACTTGAGGATGAAATTAAATTAAAAGAAAGGGCTTTGATTCTAAATCCTTCTGATGAAAGTACTAAAGAATCTGTAAAGTTATTAAGGTCACAATTTAATATGTTGATAGCAGATCAAGCTGCAACCAACTTATTATTTATGAAACAAAATACATTTTGTAATGCTAATAAGCCGGGGAGATGGTTGGCTTATCAATTAAGAAAGAAACAGAGACAGAGAATAATAGAGAAAATAAATTATAAGGGTAAACTAGTTTCTCAGAAGGAATTAATTAAAAAATCTTTTTTGGATTATTATCAAAACTTATATAAATCTACTAATGTACAATTGTTAGATATAAATAAATATTTAGCTGAGGCAAGTTTTCCTAAATTGACTGAGGATCAGAAATATGAAATTAATGGCTTAATTACTAAGGAGGAAATTGCCTCAGCAATTCAACAATTGAAACTAGGGAAAGCACCGGGTACGGATGGGTTAACAGCTGTTTATTATAAAGCTTTAATGGAGGAGATGATCCAACCATTAAATGATCTTTTTAATGGTATCTTACAGGGCTTAGAGTTTCCTCCTTCATGGCGTAGTGCCTTTATATCATTGATTCCAAAGGAGGATCAAGATCTTACTTTACCAAAAAATTATAGGCCTATATCTCTTTTAAACGTGGATTATAAGATATTTGTAAAAATTTTGGTAAATAGGCTTATGAGGGTGGTGCATCATCTTGTGCATAAAGATCAATCAGGGTTTATAACAGGAAGGTATATGAAAAACAATGTTAGACAAATTATTAATCTATTAGAATACTTAGATAAGAACAACCAAGTTCCTGCAGGGCTCATATTTTTAGATGCTGAAAAAGCATTTGACCAATTGAATTGGCATTTTATGCTAAGAGTAATGGAAGAAATGAATTTTGGTGAAAACATATTACAAGCCCTTAAGGTAATATATCAAAAACAAACAGCACAACTTATTGTTAATGGAGGTCTTTCGGAGGTTTTCACAATAGAGAAAGGTACTAGACAGGGGTGTCCTTTATCGCCATTGTTGTTTGTTTTAACATTGGAAATATTATTGATCAAAATTCGAGAGTCTCAGGAAATTAAAGGAATATATGTTAATAAAAAAGAATATAAGTTAAGAGCTTTTGCGGATGACTTGGTTGTTACTTTGTCGCAACCTGATTATTCTGTAGTAAACTTATTACAGTTGATTCATCATTATGGCTTGGTCTCGGGTTTCAAGATTAATGTAAATAAGACCAAAATTTTACCTAAAAATATGTCTAGTCAGGAGAAGCAGATTTTGACTAACTGACGGGTTTTGAGATTGTTAATAAGGTAAAATATTTGGGGGTGATGTTGTCTGTTTCTAATGTAAAATTATTTAAAAATAATTATGAAAGGTTGTGGGTCAGGGTACAGAAGGACTTGAAGAACTGGGAAAAGTTGCAATTATCCCTCATGGGAAGAATTGCAGTGATAAAAATGAATATTTTACCCAAGTTTCTTTTTCTGTTTCAAATGTTACCAATTTTGAAAAATGAGATTAATTTAAATGAGTGGCAGAAGGGTCTTAATAAATTTATCTGGGCAGGGAAAAAGCCAAGGGTTAAGTTTAAAATTATGCAAGACTTCCATGAGAGGGGTGGACTTAAGGTACCAAATTTGAAATTATATTATGATGCGGTGGTTTTAACACTAATCAGTGATTGGGTAAATTTGACAAACTCTGAGATACTTTATCTAGAGGGATGGGACTTACTTTATGGGTGGCATGCCTATTTAATATTCAATAAAAAAATGGATTGGGCTTTTAAATCTCATATCTTAAGAATCTCTTTACTTAGGATTTGGAGAAAATATTATAAAAGTGATTTCAAAGTACCATTATGGGCTATACCTTGGCATGCGATAGAAGCAATAAAAAGAGGGGTTAAAATGGATATGGTGTCCTACAGACAGTTACTTAAATGGGATGGACAAAACTGGCAATTAAAATCACGGGAAGAGTTAGCACAAGAAAACTTTATTTATTCTTGGTTCCAATATAGGCAATTACTAGACAGATGGAAGATGGATTGTAAGGTGGGTTTTCTTAGAGAAGATGAAAATCTTATTAAGCAAGTGAAGGATTCAAGACAAACCCACATTAA